ATAATCGCGAGTTTCTGCAACACCCTCTTATAAGGAATGAATTCAATAGCTACCCAATTTATACGGTATAAACTGGGTTGGAACAGTTTACACTTTTTTTATAAACCGCTTCGCATAAACTGCCCCAACCCAGTTTATACCGTATAAAATGGGTAGCTATTAAATTCATTCCTTATATATATATATATATATATATATATATATATATATATATATATATATATATATATATATATATATATATATATATATATATATAGCGAGGATATCTTGTATTGCATGTATTATTAGAACATGTTTTGAAACGAGTTACAGTATTGTATCAATTTTATGCAACACAAAAGCATAGCTTAGAAATTTTCTCTTATTAATCGGGATGATGTCACAGGTACAGTGCAGGGAACTAATAAACCAGCATAAGCATTAGTAGCATCAGGATCGAGCAAGCATCAGCATCAGCATTTAAAAAACAGCATTACCAGGATCAGCATCAGCAAGCAAAGGATGAAACCAGCATTGACCTACATAAAATCAGCATTATCCTACTAGCATCAGAAAATCAATGAGTTTTAATTCAGTAAAAAATTAAAAAAGAAAGAAAGAATATTGCATAAAGTATTCACATTATTGATACATAGCAAGATATTATGATCAAATAATTGTAAAAGGCACTTTTATTGCCTTAAACGGCAATGCTGAATTTCATTATCTACTTCCGGTAGCATGATGCTACTTCCGGTAGCATTGACCTAATTATAAAACAGCATCAGGATAAGGATTACTAGCATTAAATCAGCAAGCAAAGGAAGCATTCAAATCAGCAAGCAAAGGAAGCATTCAAATCAGCATCGATGCTGTAACAAAATTAGTTTCCTGCACTGTAGGCATTCAAGTTTTTTCGATTTGATGTTCATAAAATTTCTAACTGGCATGCTGGTAAATGAATAATATCTCGATTTATTACATTTTCAACAGTGAAATACTGTAATTTATATACTGAATAAAAGTGATATTCTGACACAATGTGAAAGGGTATCAAAATGGTATTCTCACAGTGTGAGAACATCAGAAGTGCGGCAAAACTTACAATTTTCCTTCCCTTCACGAAGAGTGTTTTTTCTTCCAAAAAAAATTACTGGCCTGTTATAAGATAAAGTAATGAGTTAAAAATCCATGTTTACAACGTTTTTCAATCTCGCAATCGCTTATAGCAATGACGTATCAACCGCTTAACTATGATGTCAGAGCCTATGACACTGTGTTACGAAAAGACAGAGGCAAAGGAAAAATCTAAGAAAATGTAAAAAACAGAAAATTCAATGTTTTGTAGATGAATATGGAATTTATTTCACTCGTGAGACAGGATTTTTTTTTAAAATTTTCACTCGTGCTTTGCACCCGTGAAAATATATATAAAAAAAAAATCCTGTCCCACTCGTGAAATAAATGTCATATTCATCTACAAAACATTGAATATCCTCTATATACATGTTAAAAGTGAATTTTTCCGGAAAGAAAATTTTCACATTCATCAATCAGTATCATTTTTACTAGTAACAACATAAAAAATACTAGGCAAAATGGCATTATTTATATAGAGGGAAATAATTATAATACAAATAATACAAACATGATTTTAAACACGTTTATAATTATAATGGCGATTGTTGGTCTTGGCATTTTTAAAAGCAGCAAGGGGTCGCCAAGGGTAAAGGGCGACCCCAAATTACAAGAAGCAGCACCAAACATCATGAAAGCATTATACATATACTATTAATAAGCATAAATATGGCCGTTCCGGGTATACCGCGAACGGTTATTAACCTTACAGTTATAATTTATGTATTTTACATAAATTTTACATGTATGTAGAGTAATCGTCCCAGGTAAACCGCGAACGTTACTCAACATATTTTAGCGAGCAAAGCAATGACATTATTTTAAATGTAAATGAGCAATGTTAATCAAGCAATCAATATCCATTTTCAACCTAAATCGATGAATGAACATGTCCAAAAATCAAATATATTGACACCAAGATATACATTGTCATGCATATTTGTGATAAGGAAAAAATTCTGCTGTTTATTATGTGCCTTAATTAAAGAAATATTTTAAATTGAATAATTCCTATGGCAATAAACAAAGATCGACCTATATTAAGGAGGTTGAATCCCGCGTTTTTTGAGAAGAACGTCTTTCTAAAATTTTGCATCTTAGTTTAGTTTTTAAAATAAATTTAGATTCTGTCAAGTTAAGAGTATTCAATTAAAAACCTACGATTAAATTTCATAGAAAAAGCATTGTGAGGAATTATATTTTTTTGCGAAAAGATAAGAAGAAAATGATCATTTTTTTAAAATTTCAAAGTATTTACAGTACTGTTAAGTTTGGATTCCTATTTTTCTATGCAGGCCTCACACCTCAGTATGTTTGTGCAATGAGGTATTTTTTTGCTGGTCCCGAATTATATAATTATCAAATTAAATAATATGAATTCTGTCATCATGTGTGACCAATCTATCAAATATATTTTGAAAGTCTAGGGAAATCAGGTGCCACGGAAGAGTAAGCCTCCCCTTTCGACCGGTCACATTCTCCGTTTGCTCCTTGTCATGATCAGGCAAACGGAAAAAATTGTAGACAAATCAATGTGTAAATAATGGCCTATCAACTAGTATGAAAAACAAGAGGCCCACGGGCCTTATAGGTCACATGAGTATCATGAAACAACTTCGCCACAATTAAATTGGATTCATGTTTTAAACCAGAGGCCATGAAATTCACAATTTCGAAAGAGGCACACTTGCTCATCATAATTTTACATTTAGTCAGCTTACTTAATACCCAAAAAGAGAGCAGAGGATTCTCAAAGAATTAATGTATTTTCACTATGAAATCATTAGAGCCCTGCCCTAACACCAGAACCAGGACCCAGGGGCCATAAAATTCACAATTTTGGAAGAGGCATCCTTACATATCATAACTATACTGTTAGTTCATCAGCTTAATACCGAGGAGAAAAGAAGATTTTCAAAGAATTATTGCATTTTTACTATGTAATCATTAAAGCCCCACACTAACACCAGAACCCCTGACCCAGTGGCCATGAAATTCATTCATAATTTTGGAAGAGGCACTCATCATAACTATGCATCAGTTTGTTTGCTAAATACCCAGGATCAAGTAAAAAGATTTTTAAAGAAAAAATGCATTTTCACCATATATTCAACAGAGCCCCGCCCTTACACTAGAACCCCTGACCCAGGGACCATGAATTTCACAATTTTGGAACAGGCACCCTTACATATCATAACTATACTCTTAGTTCATCGGCTCCTAGTTCAGGAGAAAAGGAGAAGATTGTCAAAGAATTATTGCATTTTTACTATGTAATCATTAGAGCCCCGCCCTAAAACCAGAACCCCTGACCAGGGGCCTTGAAATTCACAATATAGGAATAGGCACCCTTATTCATCATAACTATGCATTCAGTTTGTTTGCCCTGGATCAGAGAAGATTTTTAGAAGAAATAATGCATTTTCACTATATATTCAACAGAACCCTGCCCTAACACCGGAACCCCTGACCCTGGGGCCATGAAATTCAAAATTTTGGAAGAGGCACCTTTCATCATCATAACTATGTATTTATTTTGTTTTCATAATATCCAAGAACACAGAAGAAGCTTTTTAAAGAAATAATGCATTATCACTATATATTCAACAGAGCCCCATCCTAACACCAGAATCCCTGACCCTTCGGCCATGAAATTCACAATTTTGGAAGAGGTACTCTTTCTCATCGTAACTATGTACTTAGTTCATCGGCTTAATACCCAGGAGCAGAGGAGAAGATTTTTGAATAATTAATACATTTTCACTATATAATCATTAGATCCCCGCCCTAACACCAGAACCCCTGACCCAGGGGCCATGAAATTCACAATTTTAGAAGAGACACCTTTCCTCATCATAACTATGCATATTGTTTGTTTCCTTAATACCCAAGTGCAGAGGAGAAGATTTTTAAGAATAATGCATTTTCACTACATATTCAACAGATCCCCACCCTAGCACCAGAAACCCTGACCCTGGGGCCACAAATTTCACAATTTAGGTAGAGGGCTCAATGCTTATTACATTCATGCCAACAGTTTGCCTACTTGATGTCCAGGAGTAAAGAAGAAGATTGTTAATGATTGCATTAATTTTGATGGTTTTAGCTCCACCCCTCAGGCCCCAGGGGGGAAGGGGTCATGAATTTCACAATTTTTACTCCCCTTCACATACAGATGCTATATGCCAAATTTAGTTGAAATTGGTTCAGTGGTTCCAGAAAAGAAGCTGAAAATGTTTAAATGTTAACGCACGACGGACGAAAACAGATAGCAATAGGTCACCTGAGTAAACTCAGGTGACCTAAAAACCTCAGTCATCATTCGACTATATTATAATTTTAAATAATTTTATTGCTTGTTAAATTTTGAATGACATTAGGGTGCAGAAAGGTCAAATAAATGATTATGCGAAGTAATTTGATTTCTTTTTTTTTTGTAATCAATTTTTAATGTGTCTATGCAAGATAGAAGAATATTGTATTTGGTCCCATAAATTATTCAGATACACTGAGGAAAACCTTCGAAAACGTTAATTATATTTAAGACGCAATTACTGTCAAAATGGTCATATTAAATGCCCCGTATATAGCGCCAAAAGTGCGAATTTATAAAAATATACTTTAACAAAACATCCTTTATAATTTTGATAGCAGGATCCAACCTCCTTAATTCTATTAACACATATTAATAAACGATGTGTTCTTTTATCTGATATAGCTGTATCTCAACAATATTTCACAGAATTTCATTTTTAAGATTCAAATGATTAATCAGATATACTGATATTTTTACACAACTTAAGTATTTAATTGTAAACATCCGCACATATACAATTTTATGTTAAAATTTCTGAAAGAGGAAACTCATTCATGTGCATTCTTTATTTTTCAGAGTAATAGTAACATTCATCTGATGGTGCGGATCCAAATGTTTGCCCTATGTCTCCCATAATTTCTTTGAATGTTGGTCTCTGTTTAGGTTTGGCTTGCCAGCATCGTATCATTAGTTTGCAGTAGCTGAAAGTTATGTATTTTTATACAATCAGAATACATTTCATCAAAAAATCAAGCAATTTCAATTACGTCAAATATGCTGATAATTATAGACAGCTCTGATAGAAAATATAGCTTTTTATACGAACAAGTCATTGGCAAATTCGGGTTTTTTCATTCTATGACCATTTTTTACTTCCTCTTGAATCTGTCGACTTCGCATTCCTGGATATGGACTATCCCCTACAAATATATTTTAAATTTCTGAACTAAATAAAAAAGAAATAAATAATATTATCTAATACAAGTTTTCGATTATCATTGATATTCTACTAAAAAAAATTAGACGCTTTCATACCAAGGCTGAATATCTCCCAAACCACAATACCAAAGGACCATACATCACTTTTAGTTGTCGAGTTTTTCATTGAAGTCAGACATTCTGGTGCTGTCCACTTTATTGGAATGCGTTCCTTTAGCAGCAGGTAAATATATACAAGTAAATAGCTAGAAAACATACATTTTGAAGAACGGTTTCAAATTATAAGAGTGCGTAATAACTTTGCAAAGATAGTGTTTCATTCACATTCTCATTAAAAAGGGCATCAAATTAAGAATTGATAGGTGTACAAATTCTAGTAGACCATATTTAGATTTTTTTCTATATTTGTTTTTTCATCAGCATTTTTTTTTTAGTAAACTCGATCTTTATGGAAACAAACACATTCTGTACAACATATTAATATTATGGAACTTTTTAAACTTGTATTTTTGATGCCTTGTAGTTTTTGAACTCACTTCATTACTGTCGCGTCGATTTGTAGCTTTTACGTATCTTAATGTGGAAGACAATTTAATCGTAGATTAATGTAAATTGCTTATCAAACTCTAAACTTCCCTTCTCAAGTGCTCTAAGTATTCTGCGAGAGTATTTTAGTCCATTTTGAAATGACGAAATACAATGTAAATACGATGCGATGTACTTCTGAAATTTCAGTACAATATCTTGATCCTTGTTTGTTGTTATCCAGTTTATTGACAAACTTGCGTTGCATTTCTCAGTAACGTCACAATCCAAACCTAATCAAAGCAAAATATAAGGAAAGCAGTAAAGTACCTTTTCATCAGATTTTATGTCCCCATCTGCATCATTGTCCTCTTTCTGCAGGGGTTCTGGACCAAAGCCATAAATCTTGGGCTCTAGTTCATCGGTGAGCAATACGTTTCTTGCTGCGAGTTTCTTATGTACAATCTAGAAATCAAACTTTAGATATGATATACATAACATTGAGCCATTAATAATTATATTCCTAAATGAAAGCCAAATATTAATGTAATATCAACCTGTTTTGTTTCAAGGTAACACATTCCTTTGGATATACCATATGTAATACGGTACAATTGTTCAACCGTATCCTCAGTTGTAGCATTCTTTTGCTGCAATAACCAATCTCTAAGTTGTCCTTTTTCACAGAATTCAAGTATCATGTATGGTCCAACTATTCAAAAAAGACGATGGAAGCACAATTATTATTTTTGTTTGTTTGTATATTGTTTAACGTCCCTCTCTAGAATTTCTCATTCATATGGAGACGCGACCACTTGCCGGTGGAGAGCTAAAAATTTTGTCCTATACTCGGCACTTACGGCCATTGAGCAGTGAGGGATCTTTTTCGTGCCAGCACCTACTGCGACACGGGACCTCGGTTTATACGGTCTCATCCGAAGGACCGGTCTCCACGTCCCACAATGGGATTCGAACCCGCGACGTAAGGATCAACTCCTTGCGCCGCGACTCTAGAGCAGACGCTCTAACCATTGTGCCACGCGGGCGACCACAATTATCATTGTACTTCAACATATTCACCTGTCTCTTCATGAATATCAAATTTAATTTTGTTTCTTACTTGCTCTATTGTCCACCACGGCCCCAATGAAAAGGAGGATATTTTGATGTTCTCCAACTTCTTTCCCAAAGAAATTTATTTTTGCCCTCATCATTAGAGCGTTTTCTTCCGAGTAACCACCTTTAAGAAAAAAAAATATTTACAAATCTTTTCTAACTTTCGTACGCGCATCTCTAGTTAACGTTCAAATCTTGTGAAGAAAATATGGTTTTGATGATATTCTCAAAGTGAATATAATTTCCGTGATATAATAATCAATTCAGGCATCAGAATCACATTATAAAAGAAATATCATATCGATCACTTTTTAACGTTTTCGCCACGACAATTCCTCTTTCCTCTCGATTTCCTTTGGGCCTGTACATAGCTCTGTATATATCAGCAAATCGACCTGTTGTTATTAGAGATTCAAAAACAATTGACGAAGCTGGTAAAATCCAACTATCCGACTCATTGAATTCCATATGACCATAAATGTAAATGTCATCATCGTATGTTGGATTCTAAAATCAATAGAAAATACAGTTCCATCATCAGTTAGTGTTCATTTCTTTACAAGTGATGTAAAACATAGACATAAATATTTTCTTTACACTCTACATGCTTTTAATTTAAAACTGTAAAATTGATCTCTATCAAATACTAAGATAAATGACTTACTTCATGTGCATTGGAAAAACGATTGTTAATTCTTGTTCGAACAACTGTTACCCGGCGTTGTATTTCATTTCTAACTAAAGATAATCGCCCCATGCGCCATAGAACCACCATAAAGATTACCCCGCCGATCAAAAGGAGAAAGACTAGAGATGCAAAATGCATAGCCAGTAAAATAAAGTATCAGTTAACGAGAATATATCATCCAACAATTAAAAGAAATATTACAGTCTCCAGTAATCAATATGAAAATAAATAACAAGGCAACAAAGTTAGTAAAACGCAAGCGCTTTCATTACTTCTTCTGACGTTTTACATTCCAAAACAATTCATTGTTTTGAATTACTAACATTGTTGGCGCTTGTTTCTCTCTCTCTCTCTATATATATATATATGAGAGCAAATGTCTTGCAAGTGAACGAAAATGTATATTTAGTGTACATTTAATGGATGTCAATTGAAATACAAGACGAAATTAATATCAGCTTGTCTCAATTTGTAAATTTTAGTTGCGCTGAGAAAAAAAATGTTAAAAAATATTTTTTATGCAAGATCTAGTATGAAAAAACTAATTGAACTGCTAAATTCCGACTCGTATATTATCTTAAAAACTCGTAAAATTTGTGTTTGAATATTTTAGAAAGAGGAAAAATTCTACTCTCAAGCAAAATTAAATATAACTCCTGTACGGTCATCATTTTTTCCCAATTTTGTTGTAAAGCACCTGTCTAGCACCTGTTTATCAATGTTTATAAATCACTGTTATATCTCTGTGGCAAAATATGTAAGTAATATTATATATATATATATATATATATATATATATATATATATATATATATATATATATATATATATATATATATATATATATATATATATATATAATTTACCGATAGATATTCCAGCAACTGCCCCTCCAGTAAGAGCAGTGGGCGATTCTTTTGTTTTAAAAGATAAAAATATTGGATCGCTTGTTTCATCTCCATATTCCGTGACAAATGAGAGGTTGTAGCTGGTCTCTGAATTCAAACCAGTAAGATCGAACCAATCCGCTTTTGTGTTAATATATTTAGTAAACGTTCGACCATCGGATGAACGGTATTTTACAACAATATTGGTTTTGCTGTAGCAACTTGGTGCAACGGTCCATTTTAAGCGCACTCCATTGTCATAAGTTGCTGCTACATGTAAATTCATGGGACCTGAATCTTTTAAATAAGAAAGAATGCAATTTTAAAGTCATTTACAATGTGCATTTTAAATGTATGACTCAGGTAAGGCCAATATGTATATAAGCATAAGCGTATGAATTTGTCTAATACTTACATTGATCCATTCCATTCAGTGAAGGCAAGTCAGAAATCTAAATTTATAAATGTTTTGATTATTAACGTAAAGTTAGAGGTGCCTTTTTAAAATTGAAAGTTTTCTGATACAAATACTTACAGTATGGTTGTACACAGTGGATTTCATTGCCATATTGTACACAGTCAATTCAAGCATCACATATTCTGTTATATAGTTTTCTTTCGCTACTACCATCCAACAGTTATCTATATCTAGGAAATGACTGTAGTAATAGATGTCTCCCTTGGGAATTCTGTATCCTTCCCTGATTCCAGGATCAAACTTGAAAAGATATGATAATTGTTTATTAATTATGCATCAGGTAAGTCAATTCGAGAAAAAGAAATATGCAAGTAGAATATTTGTAGTATTTAACTTTTTTGTATTTCAAAGAACTTGCATATGCAATATATATAATGTTGAGGCAATATTCAAAATAGAAAAGATATAACATAAAATTTTATTGTTGAATGGTGCCATGAAGAACTAATGCAAAAAAAATTGTTTTATTATATGATTGGGTGATTCCTAATTCGCTGCCAGGCTTAGTTCGAACATTGTAGAAACATACTAAGTTTTGTTCACTTGTTCACAGTTTAACATACCATCATTTTTTCTGCATTTGGAAAAAAAATCGAAAAATGCCAGATTGATACAATCGGTTATGAAAAGTTATGACCCCCTGCATTCGACCTTCCAGGTGAACATATCATTCTTTTAAAAAAAAAAAATTGAACAGAACTTCGCAGGTATGTAAAGGCAGTACCCAGATAATATTTCGGCGAATTTAGACTGTTTTGGTAAAATGTAACATTGATAAATCGGAAAAGCCATAGATAAAATATTTACTATAATTATCTATTGTATAGACGTCATTGAGTTTTAGGCTGAAAGAAGCACTCCACTACGACGTCATCACGTGACGTCTATAAATAGAAAAATTGCCTTAATGAAAAAGTAAAAAGTTCAACACTGCCCCGGGGATGATTCAATTCTTTTTATATATTTGATCAATAGTTATGACGTCATGGGTTTGGTATTTAACCCCCGTGATAAATACTTAGCTGTTTATACCACCCAAAAACGACATGATTTTGTTTATATTATGTTTTTGAGTGATTCCATTCGTTTCTTAGACCTGAAATTAAACTTTAAATATAGATATTAAGAAATCATTATTTCTAAACTTCACGTCATACAGCTTACTATGACGTCATATTGTAGAGGCAAGTAGTATATCTCTGGGTGTAGCCTTAACATACCCGCGTTCCAAATTGATACAATTATGAACAGGGGATGCTTATTCCTCCTAGGCACCTGATCTCACCTCTGGAATTTCCTGGGGTCCGTGTTTTCTGTCCTCTTCACTTATTTGTATCCTTTATGGATTTTTTTGAGATCGATCATTGTTCGTTATCTTTACTTTTTACATAAGAAATGTTATTTCACATGCACCCGACTTTAAGGTGAATATAACATTTTCTTTTTCTATATTATTTTGATTGCTGTTTTTAAAGATCAGTACGATTTTGCAATCTTAAAAGTATGGTATTCGCCTCGCCCTTCGGGCTTGGCAAATATTGTTCTCCTCGGGCACCTAAATCATCGCTACGATCATAATTACAGCATTAGTCGTATATTTTCATGATCAATTTTTATTTCTTTGTTAAAACTTCTGATATAAAAATAGCCCTTCGTGATAAAAAACACGTAATTAGTAGTACCCCAGCAGGGGTTTGTTATTCTATTTGGGATATATTCCTAACCTGTTAAGGGGTTGATAAAACGCCTTTTCCTTTTTTGATCTATCTAGTTGTTTGCTGTTAAACAATTGTATATATACTCGAGTTACTCGACTTAAGGCCTACATGTGTACATCTGATAAGTGACTTAAATGCAATGATCATCATTTCAGAGCAAAAGCATAAAACTAGTACAGGTATAATTTAAAAAAAAGGACCACTATTATGAATCACATTATCGTGTTGTTATAGCTAAGATGAAGAGTTGATTCTGAAGTCCAAAAAAAAAAAAAAATAAATAAAAGTTGTATAGATTTTTTGTGATGCTTTATTTTCGTAAATTTTCTCCTATATACAAACACAGGTCATATACCCACCCCACTGACACTCACTGTGCACAAGTTGTTTAGACTTTTAAAAAAACATGTTGAATATGGCTTTTTCAAGTACAGTTTACACACAGTTATAGTTTCAGCATATTTCCAATTTATGAAAAAAAAAAAAAAAAATAAAATAAAATTATAAAAACATACCTTTGTTTGATTTCCTTCTATATATCCTGACTTAAAAACTATTCCACTGTTGTTTGAAATTAGTTTCCAGTTTATTCTATAGATTCCACTGTCTTCGTCACTAGTTATGACATGCAAGCTTTAAGATATAAAAGTGCCAATTTTAAGTATACGAAAAAAGAAGAGATTCAATCTTTTAGAAGTATCATTATTAAGTTCCGTATTTTAAGCTTCTCTAAAAAAATGTTTAATTTTCAAACATATTCTTATAACCACAATATGGATGACGTACCGACTTGAAAAGTGATAAGTAGTTACGTTGGTATTTGGCATAAACAAAACACTAGCTTCAGTCAGTTCCCTTGGTGGAGTGGAATCAAAATAAATTTGAGTCATGTCACTTTTAGTGTTTCCCAATGCATCAGTTGCTTTAACCCAGAAATATATTCCGTCACCATCTCTTCTGCTGAAGTTTACGGTCTGAGTCTCGGAGAACATGTTGTCGACGATATTCCAGTGAGTGGGATTACTGTTGCCTTGATCGGCATTTCTAAACGCATAATCGAATCTTACGATGCCATGCACATTTTGTATTCCTTTTAATGTTCTGTTTCCATCATAGTCATCTAGTTTATTTAAGACAAGTTTACTTTTCTGAGTATAAAAATCATAATTTTTATATGGGCTCACTGGAAGTAAAAGTTTATTGTCTTCGAGAAAGCTGTTTCTGAAATGATTCTTCCATGTCACTTCCACATTTTTTATTAGATTGTCTTGCCAAGTGAAGTTAGTCTCTGTTACTCCACTCGTGACTTTAAAGTTCGATATGTTGTTAATGGTAGACAAAGTCACTTCTGACAATGGGTCATACAAAACAAGGCTTCTCGCAAATTCGGTGTTATTGGCGGAGTCCATGACATTCAAAATATAGGAATACATGCCTGGCTCAGATGGAGTACGTGTAAAAGATCGTGTGTTCTTATCCAGTTTAAATATATTTCTGGCTTTCCAAGGGTCTGGTTCTGTTAAATTTGGCTGTAATCTCTGATCAGGTTTTAACAGATATTCCTGAATGGAAAAGCCGTGAATTCCTGACATCTCATCAGTCCATCCATCCCATGTGAAATATAAAGGATTCTAGGTAAAAACAAGAGGCCCAAGGGCCTTAACGGTCACCTGAGTACAACAATTTAGAGGATCCATAAACTGATAAATGAAGCTTTGTTGCAAAAAAGCAAGAAAAATGGTACGATTAAGATCAACAAAAGAATTGTTCTAGTATCTAAGACTAAGAAAGTACTTTTTGTATTATACAATAAATGTTCTTGCATAATTCTCTTATTCTATTAACATTTCAAATACATTATCTACAGTGATTAATTATCAAAGGTGAATGGCAAAGGGAAATAACTTCACTCAGTAGAATACAAATTAATAGAGCCCTGGCCAGGACCAGAACACTTGACTAAATGGTCCAGATGTTCAAAATTCTGGTAAAAATACCCTTGCTTATTATTAACTTTTTACTCTGTTTGCCTCCAATATACACAGGAGCAGAGAAGATCTTCAAAGAAACAATGCATTTTTACTATTTAACACAGCCCTACCCTAACACCAGAACCCATGACCCAGGGTCATGAAATTTACAAATTTGGAAGAGGTACCCTCATCATCATAACTATGCAATTACATGTAGTTGAAGATTTTCAAAGAATTTACCCATTTTCACTATATTATCAATAGAACCCCCCCCCTCCCAGACAGAACCCCTGGGACCAATAGTTTTAAAAAATTTGTAAAAAGCATCCTTACTCAACATAACTTTAAAATTGTTTCTATGCTTTATAACCAGGAGTAAAAAAAATATTTTGAAAGAATTTATGAATTTTCACTATATGATCAATAGACTCCCCCCTTTTCACCAGAACTCCTGACCCAGGGGACATGAATTTCATAATTTTCGAAGAGGTATTCTTGCTTATCATAACCATGCACTTCCTTTGTTTAAATAATACCCAAGAGCAGAGAAGAAGATTTTCAAAGAATTGATACATTTTTCATTATATAATCAATAGAGCCCCGCCCTAACACCAGAACCCCTGAACCAGGGGCCATGAAATTCACAATTTCTGAAGAGGAACTCTTGCTCATCATAACTATGTACTTAGTTTATTTAATACCCATGAGCAGAGAAGAAGATCTTCAAAGATTTAATGCATTTTCACTGTATAATCAATGGAGCCCAGCCTTAACACCAGAATCCCTGACCCAGGGGCCATGAAATTCACAATTTTGGAAAAGGCAGACATGCTCATCATAACTATGTACTTAGTGAGTTTATTTTATACCCAGGAGTAGAGAAGAAGATTTTCAAAGATTTAATGCATTTTCACAATATAATCAATAGAGCCCTGCCCTAACAACAGAACCCCTGACCCTGGGTCCATGAAATTCACAATTTTGAAAAAGGCAGTCTTGCTCATCATAACTATGTACTTGGTTAGTTTATTTAATACCCAGGAGTAGAGCAGAAGATTTTCAAAGAATTAATGCATTTTCACTATATAATCAATAGTGCCCCGCCCTAACACCAGAACCCCTGACCCAGGGGCCATGAAATTCACAATTTTGGAAGAGGCAGTCCTGCTCAACATAACTATGTACTTAGTTAGTTAGTTTGTCTAATACCCAGGAGCAGAGAAGAGGATTTTCAAAGAAATAATGCACTTTCACTATATGATCTATATAGCCCCATCCTAGCACCAGAACCCCTGACCCTGGGGCTATGAGTTTCACAATTTTGGTAGAGGGCTCAATACTTATTACAATCATGCCAACAGTTTGACTGCTTGATATCCAGGAGTAAAGTAGAAGATTTTTAAAGATTGTATTAATTTTGGTGGTTTTAGCCCCACCCCTCAGGCCCCAGGGGGGCAGGGACCATGAAATTCACAATTTTTGTCCCCCTTCACCCATAGATGCTATATGTTAAAATTGGTTGAAATTGGTTAAGCGGTTTCAGAGAAGAAGCTGAAAATGTTTAAATGTTAATGCACGACGCCGGACAAAACGGATAGCAATAGGTCACCTGAGTGACTCAGGTGACCTAAAAATTAATAATATTACTTTAACTTGGTTTTAATTGTTACTTACAATCATTTATTTTTCTTTAAATCACCCTATTAATAAGTAAATTACTCCTTTCATGCTATTTGATAGTTTGGGTACGAAACTAATATTAATATCTTTAAATATTAAAAGACGAAACATTTATTACATGTAAAAATGATTCAGTATTATGATTTTATGACTTTATGGACTACCTTCGTAATGTCTTCTGAAACACTGAATGGTCTTGACGAGCAATTGTTATTAATAGCACAATGACGAGGGCTGACAAAGTCAAATCTGAATCTTGTTGCCTTTGTTGACTTTTGTCCAATGAACGTATCCGTATATGTAGTCGACTGTCTCTTTAGCTTTCTGTATCCTCCATTTGTAACAATTACAGAGATCGTTAAACTGTAAACAATGTATTCTTTATTAGTTTTTATCATTTCAAAAGACTGTCCGCATTGGTGACCAAATCATGAAATCTTCATCTTTTCCAACTTGTTTGCAGAACAATTTAAAAGAAAACTGAAGTATTACATAAGATGGCTTAACACAAGATTTATTTGAAAGAAGAGGCCCAAGGGCCTGAACGGTCACCTAAGTATAATACAACAATTTACAGGATCCATAGAGAATAAAATAAACTGATAGATGAAGCTTTGTTGCCAAAAAATAAGAGAAATAGGTGATCAAGATTAACGAAATAATTAGGCTAGTATTCAGTAACAACTCACAAAGTAAGTTCTAATCTGTCCCCCATTTATCATTATTACCATGCAGACTATTTACAAAATATTAGTGCTTCAGTACTTTTTTTAACCCCATATTTTTAACTCTCTTCGTCTTTGAAGACCGTCACGGTAGCTCAGTCGGTAGAGCACTCGCTGTTCAAATTACGACCGCTACTGACCTAAGTAGATGAAAAATTGATAGCAACTGTTCCTTCGCCAAACGCTCGGCTCTTTAAACTGAAAGTTGCGGGGTCCTTCGGATGAGACCTTAAAAACCGAGGTCCCGTATCACGGTAGGCGTTGGCACGATAAAGAACCCTCACTGCTCAATGGCCCTGAGTGCCGAGTATAGGTCTAAATTTGAAGCCCTATGGTGATGTCTCTATATGAGTGAAAAATTCTCGAACGGGACGTTAAACAATATACATGTACAATCAATCGTCTTTGAGGAACATTCGATAAGTTATTTTTGTCTCATTTTTATTTATCTATTATTTAGTCTAAACGATCATTAAAACAAGAGGCTCATGGGTCACAACTCTCACATGCGTAACTTTGGCCCACTGTTCTTCACCAGATTTTCCCCCTTGTAATACGTATTGTGGCCCCACCCTACCCCTGGTGGTCACGATTTGAACAATTTAGAAACTACACTACCTCAGAATGCTTTCATATCAGTTTCAGCTTTTCTGGCCCAGTGGTTCTTCAGAAGATTTTAAAAAATTTTCCTATATATTTTAAATGTAAAAAATTGATTCCCCATTGTGGCCTCATCCCCCCCCCGGGGGGGGGGGGACATGATTTGAACAATTTAGAATCTACACTACCCAAGGATGCTTCCATATAAGTTTCAGTTTTTCTGGCTCAGTAGTTCCTGAGAAGATTTTTAAAAATTTTCCTATATATTTCAATGTAAAATTTTGATTCCTCATTGTGGCCCCACCTTATCCCCAGGGGTCATGATTTGAACAATTTAGAATTTACACTACACCAGAATGCTTCTTTATAAGCTTTTCTGGTCCAGTGAGAAGATTGTATAATGACCCCACCCTAATTTTTATTATTATCTCCCATTTTAAGGGCGCTTGGCCCTTCATTTTAACTTCCCTTCACCCACGAATGCTTTGCGGCAAGTTTGGTTAAAATTGGCCCAGTTGTTCTTATAAGAAGTTGAAAATGTGAAATGTTTTCAGACGGACGACGGATAACAGGTGATCAGAAAAGCTCACTTGAGCTTTCAGCTCGGGCCGGTGAGCTACCTATGAAAGTACTTTTTGTATTATACATTAAAAATTCTTTCTTGCATACTTCTCTTATTCTATTGACCTTTCAAATACATTATTTACAGTGATTAATTTTCAAAGGTGAATAGCAAAGGGAATCACTTCTCTCTGAGTCAGTAGAATACAAATTAATAGAGCCCAGACCGGAACCAGAACACTTGACCAAATAGTCCAGATGTTCAAAAATCTGGTAAAAATTCCCTTGCTTCTTAAAACTTTTTACTCTGTTTGCCTCCGATATGCCCATGAGCCAAGAATTTTTCAAAGAAAAAATACATTTTCACTACAGATTCAATACAGTCCAATCCTAACAGCAGAATTTATAACCCAGGGTCATGAATTTCACAAATTTGAATGAGACACCCTCATCATCATAACTATGCACTTAGTTGAAGATTTTCAAAGAATTGACACATTTTCATCATATTATCAATAGAGCCCCCCCCCCCCCCCAAAAAAAAAAGAAACACACACCAGAACCTCTGATCCTTGGACCACAAAAATTTTTAAAAAATTTTGTGAGAAGTACCCTTGCTTATTTGATGCATTTTTACTGAATTATGAATAGAGCCCATCGGTCTCGGTAGCCTAGTGGTAGGGCGCTCGCTTCGTGATTGGGAGGCCGCGTCAAACCTAAGACGTAAACAGAGGTAGTAACTGTTCCTTCGCCAAGCGCCCGGCACTAGAAGTGAAAGTCACAGGTCTTTCGAATGTGACCTTAAAAACCGAGGTCCCGTGTCACGGTAGGCGTTGGCACGATAAAGAACACTCACTGCTCAATGGCCCTGAGTGCCGAGTATAGGTCTAAATTTAAAGCCCTTCACCGGCATACGGTAACGTCTCTATATGAGTGAAATACTCTCAAATGGGACATTAAACAACATTCAATCAATCAATAAGTAGAGCCCCACCCTTACATCAGAACATCCTACCCAGGGGCCATGAACCTCACAATTCTGGAATAGGCACCCTTGCTCATTATAACTATTACACTTAATTTCTTTCATTTATAACCTGGAGCAGAGCAGAAAATATTGTTTTCAAAGAAATTATGCTAATTCACTATATAATCAATGGAGCCCCCCCCCCCCCCCCCACTTTCACCAGAACCCTCGACCCTGGGGCCATGAATTTCACAACTGTGGAAGAGGCATCCTTATCATAACAATGCACTTGGATTGTTTTAATAATACCCAGGAGCAGAGAAGATTTTTAAACAATTAATGCATTGACACTATAAAATCAATAAGCCCCGCCCTAACGTCAGTGGCCATGAAATTCAGAATTTTGGAAGAGGCACACTTTCTCATCATAACTATGTACATAGTTAGTTTGTTTAATACCTGGAGCAGAGAAGAGGATTTTCAAAGAATTAATGCTTTCACTGTATGATCCATTTACATGTAGCTCCGACCTAGCACCAGAACCCCTGACCCTGGGGCCATGGATTTCATGATTTTGATAGAGAACTCAATGCTTATTACAATAATGACAACAGTTTGACTGCTTGATGTCCAGGAGTAAAGAAGAAGACTTTTAAAGATTGTATTTATTTTGGTTTTTTAACCTCAACCCTCAGGCACCGGGGGGGGGGGGGGAGCAGGGACCATGAAATTCATAATTTTTGTTCCCCTTCACCCATAGATGCTATATGCCAAAATTGGGGAAGCCGTTTCAGAGAAGAAGCTGATAATGCTTAAATGTTAACGCACGACGAACGACGACAGACAAAAACGGATACATGTAGCAATAGCTAGGTCACCTGAGTGACTCCAGTGACCTAAAAATGATTGTGGATCCGGACATACTTATCTCCATGTTCTAGGATTCGGTCAAAGTTTTCGTTGGTGAAGTTGCACCAGTACACTCCACCATTTGGATTAAGCGACCCAGGGTTGTACGGACAATTCAGCGTTGTCTTATTTATGCTTGTAAAATGTTTTGTTGCATCTGCGAATGAAAACAAAGTGCAAGAAGTGAAAAAATTTCATTTCCCTTTTACCGCATCGCAAGATAAATGTAAGTATTAATATTCTCAACTGTACTTGAAATTAGAAATGACATTTTTCAATAAAATATTTACTTAGTTTTATTTTTTCATTAAATACACACCGTTCCTATCAACTTTCGCTAAATTCAGCTGTATTTGTCCAGATACAATACCAAACTTGAATTCCTGGACATAATCAGGAACCATGATATTTTCTGGTGGAGTAAAAATAGCCGAAAAGCGTACATTAATGTAGTTATAGCGATTTTGGTTTATCCACATGGTGTCAATTTTTGTTGAATTTGGTTCGGACGAGTCTGTCATAAACCTATACATTTCTCTTTTCCTTCCTGTTCTTTCTATGAACGCTAAGAATGATGTGCATTGTGTTATTGAAGGTTGCACAGCAGATGTCACTGAAATGAAAAAGAAAGAGATTACAGAGAAAAGGACGATAAAGAAATAAAGATATCTGGTCAATAGATAAAAGAAAAGATTGTGTAATATGAACATCTCTGTAACATATAAGCTTGTACAAACTTTTTTTGCAGCGATCAAGTCCATTCAATCCAGAAAATCCTGAGCTACACTGACAATGAATGGAATCAGAGCAACGTCCCGGAAAGCATGGGGAATGATGGGAACACAATGCTAATAGTAAATGAAACATTAGATAGATTACCAAAATAGCTTTTCTTTATTACGGGAAAAAATGAATACAATTTACATGTATTCCCATGGTAAAGTGACCGATCCATGTGATCACTGATTTAGTTTATTATATACAGTATCAAGAATAAACTTCTTATCATTTACAACAGTTTAACTGTTAGTTAGATTTAATACGAAAGTGAAACACGTGTTTTAAACCATTCTTTATGTCAATAGGCTGGCTGAAATTAATTTTACGTTTGAACGTCACTTATAAACTTAACATCTTCAAAACCAACGGGGGAGAAAAAAAATTAAACAAAAATTTCAAACAAATGAGTATTAACTCATTTACATGAATTAATAAACTGTCAATATTTGTGTATCATGTAGGCTTATTGTTTAATGATCATTGTCAGTAAATCTATCAGTTTAAATGATAGGATCAGCTCAGATAAACCTCACAGAGGGCCCTCATGTTGTCTATCCCTATATATGAAATGCAGTTTTCATTGCTAAAAGTAAAAGCAAACCGGAAAAGAAATGATAAAAATGCCGATTGGTTTGTTCTTTAAAATGCCAATTTCTCCGAAACCTACGCGTGTGGGTGACGTTAAATATAAAATTAACTTTGGACAGCATTAATGTCTTTCAATTAGAGTATTTTATAACGTTACGTACGTGTGGCACATGTTGGACCAGTGTAAGTTTTGTCACATGCACAATAATTTGGTGCTATGCATGTTCCTCCATTCCGACAAATTGGTTGACATACCGCTACAAAAAAGTGTCATAATAATTCGTGACGTCAATATATATATTTTTTCCAATTTTCTTTCATACCGATTTTGTTAAAAAACAATTTAAACGTTTAATTGGGAACATTTGGAATCTTCTTAAAACAAGTTTATAACCAAATCCTATAGGAAAGTCAAATGTTTCAGTAAAAAAATATAACAACATTGCTTGTAAATTTTGAATTTACCCGGTGGCAGTATAAATACATAATTAAGAACATTATAAAATTTGGAATTATACTGACACGGTAAATTCAAAATTTACAACTTTACAATACTTAATAAACATACTGTTTTTATTTAGTCTGTCCCAAGTGGGGGCTTCCAGCTCAATTTTGGGGCTAAATATATATATATATATATATATATATATATATATATATATATATATATATATATATATATATATATATATATATATATATATATAAATATAATTATATGCATTTAAGTTTCATTATTTTCAAACCGTTTAAAGTTAAACTGGTACATGCAACTTGGAACAAACCAATATGAAACGATTTTCCGTGCAAATTTACAATGTTAAAGTTACATAATGAGGCATATCATGTTTTTTTAAGGTATTCGTATCGTTATTTGAAAGATTTATAAAACTTATGAGTATAGCAAAGTTTTGGCAAATTAAACTGCCCTGTCAAGCAAGAAAGACTGCAAAATGTAAGTGCAAGAAGAACTGGGTCGTATCTACCGAATCGTTTTTATTGTCCATGTCAAGGTCACGCGACTTTTTATTTTTAATGTAAAACTTGTAAACAATATCAAATTGGAGCATGCAAATGTGAGGAATATGTTCTGATAATCTTTTTTTGAAGTCTGTATAAAAATTCGCGGTCTACCGACATTCATTTTTTGGGACGTGGGACCATGGTAGGAGAAAGAAGTGAAGCCATCTTTTTCATTTATGGTAGACAAAATCTTTTTTTCTTCATAAATGTAGATTTTTTTTAGGTTCTGAAATCTATAATTTTCTATAATCTAATCTTTCAAGAATTGAAAAAAAAATTCATGTGTCATCAAAAATGCTATTTTTGTCAATGTTCCCCTTTATGCCTCACACTGTCGCTTTTATTTCGAACATTGCTGTCAAGAGCGCGAGGGAGTTGCATTATTTCCATTGATTATCCGAATGTGAACTTTTATTAGCGTGCGATAAATATCCGCGATTTTCACAACCTACTTTTGCTCGCGAATATTAATCGCCACCATTTTGCTTTGCTTTGAGAGAATGTCTCCTCAGTCGCGAAAATTAATGGTCGCGGATTGATTTCAAACTGACTAATCGCAAATAAAAGATGACGCGAATAATAGTTGGTGTACAGTAACGGAAAATCGTGATAATGATAGATCCCTTCTGAAGAAGTAGCCAATTTGTAATGTTAAAACTCCTAGAATTTGAATTTGCTGCCATGTCAATATACTCGTTAACTCAATGGTTCCTTACAAAGAAGAAACCGGGGAGGGGGGGGGGGGTTAAGGTTGGCCTGGGCATTTCCATTTGGGAAAAACAGTTACATTTGGTTGAAATTGGGAAAAATATCATATTTAACATTTATCTAAATAAAATTAAATAAGAGTGGGGTTTTTTTTTCATTTGCAAGGTATTTATTGACTTATTTTACATTCAGTCAATTAGTTTTTGGAGCATGCATTTTAGATTTTTTTAACAACATTCCTGACTTGTACGTACGTATAGTGCATGTCGATCCGGTGTATTGAGGCGTACACCGACATATACGGTTTCCATCACAAGTACCTCCATTTCTACAGACTGGACGGCAAATTGCTAAATAAAATACATGTATATATTTCATTTAAGTTTCTACCAATATTGAAAAATTGTCTAAATTTCGTAAATTTAAAACGAGGCGAGTTAAAAAAAAAACAGTGTCATTTCTTAAACAGACTTGTGACTGGGCGAATTTAAAACGGGGCAAAGTTTGCAAGTGTGAAAGGGCGAAAATAACACAGGGCGAAAATAACCCTATATACAGTATATATTTTAAAAGTTGATAGCAAATTATGAACACATGGTATTTTATTCGCTACTCACAAAAAGGTATAAACACCAGAAAAAAAGAGGACATTTTGAAAATGTATTATTTGTTTAAAGCTTCATAAGTTGAGCTATTAGTTTATAACCAAAAATACATAATTTAGCACAAAAAAGTATAACTACCAAAGGTAATTTTATAACTAACTGCAGCTCATGACGCCTATTTCATCGCTTTCAGAGACTGAAAATGTCTGTACCATGTACTTCTTTACCCCCTAACATCTTGCTGGCAGTTGTGTACATGTACATAACCAGTAAGGTTATACTGGGTATTACCCTTTGTCCTAGCCATAGGATGAAGCGAAATTCAAATCTTTATAGTGATTATTTTTATCTGTCTTTACACTTTTTCTGTGTGCCACGTTCAGACAGTGTTTTTATAATAAGTTGTGTATCCCTACCAAAATCATGAAGTAGAAGTTCCATCATTCATTTCGAATAAAAAAATAACACCAGAAAAACTGATTGTTGAAAACGGAAAAATCATTGAAAATATCATTTACAAATAATTGTTGCAGAAAACCTTAAAAGTAAAAAAAAAAAAAAAACATACGAATGTTGCAGTTGTGTCCTGAGTAACCATTAAGACAAGAACAGGTGTTTGGGCTCACACAAGATCCTCCGTGTTGACATTTTGGACTGCATATTGCTGTTATAAAATACAACACTTGCTGAAATTTTCATTCAGAAACATATTGCTTCCAAAACTGTTACAACATTAACATACCCTCAAGAGTTTATAACCAAACTTAAATCGACACATTAAGACCCCCCCCCCCCCCACAAAAAAATAAATGCTAAAACATTGAAAAAACTTTCTATTTTTCTATTAAAAATATACGATTTAGTCTGCCCTCCATGATTTTATCCTCATTTATAGCATTATTATATGTAATTTATTTTTTTTTCTTTTTTGTCCTCCACTTTTATTTTTGAATAAGTACGTGTATATCATATCTATGTATACCTCTAACCTGAATTTATATACTGTAAATATTTTACATTGTCCTTTTATACCATATAATTAGATGGTTTTGAGAGAATAAATTAACTTAAACTTGAGACGCTTCAGTAATCAGTTTGATTAACATGGCTCAGCTGTTCCCCCTAAATAAAATTTTTTTAAGCTGTATTTTCCACTGTAAACATGCATTTTAAAAAATCTGACAAATTTTATCCCTATCAAAATCCGGGGCCCATTATTTAACCAGACGTCTCTGGTGAGACTGTAGCTCTACTGGTGTGTATGTATACCAAAGGAAAAGTAGCACTTGGATTTGAAACTTTGCAATATACAGCAATTAATAGAATTATGTATCTTATCGTAGTCTACTTTTGTGCCAAGTTATATTGAAATCAAATGAAAACTGTAGGAGAAGCGTTTTGAAAGTACATGTATTTCACAGAAATTTCTATTTTAGAAATACAGTTCACGGTAGCTCAGTCTGTAGAGCACTCGCTCCGTGTTGTGGAGCTCCGGGAGGTCGTGAGTTCGAATCTCGGCCGCGACTGACTTAAGTCGATAAAAAATGGGTAGCAACGGTTTCCTTCGCCATGCGCTCGGCACTTTGAAGTGAAAGTTGCGGGTCCTTCGGACGAGACCTTAAAAACCGAGGCCCCGTGTCACGGCAGGCGTTGGCACGATAAAGATCGTTCACTGCTCAATGGCCCTGATTACCGAGTAAAGGTCAAAATTTGAAGCCCTTCACCGGTTTATATTGACGTCTCTATATGAGTGAAATATTCTCGAATGAAATCATCTTAATTTGACTTTAATCAGTGCAGATCATGCAAAATTTTCACAGTAGTTACCTACTTCTGTTGAAAATATTTCTAATAAAACATCCCAATTCGTATTGTAAGTCTGTATAACGCGTAAACTAAGTGCAAAATTGCCTGTCGCCATCTTGAATTAGGGTAACGCACTTTACCCTTGCCTGTTTCTACGCAGTGAATTTGCTGTCATGGGTAATGTACATGTAAAATATGAAAGCCCTATCTTTTCTCATTCAGAAGTTATCACCAATTTTCGTTGAAATCCCGCGAAAGCGCGTTGAATTGAATTTTTACTGACGGAACAATTACAATATATATTATTAGTTTTTACTGACAGTTTATTACAGGCTTATAGCTGGAAGAGATATTTTGTTTAAAAAAAAAACGGCATATACTTTCGGAGCAGAAGTAGATACATGTATACACCCACCCCTACCCTCTTTCGTAAAAACTTGAAAAATAAGAATTTCATCAATTGACGTTTATTTTGATACATGTATCTGTTAAATTTGTTATAGATATTGTACTTCGGGCGCTCTTATTATTCAATTTCCATCAATTTTACTGATAAATTTGTCAGCACATTTTTTGTAAAAATAAGCTTTTAACTCCCTATGTATAGGCCTAGTATTTGATACAAAAGACTGTATTCAGAAAAAAAGAAGAAAAAAACCCCTCTGAAATGTAACAATTTAAGCACAAATTTTTAACAGTTTTAGTTATATGTGAAAAGTGCCATCGTCATTAATTGACGTCTTCTTTTTACATGTAAGCAAGTTTATTACGAAATACAAACTGTACTTCGGGTTCGTTGCCATGATGCTCACAGTGGCGAATATGCACATTTTACTGATTTATTAGCACAACCTACTAAAAGATATTTTCACAACTTATAGCGTTATCAATTGCTTTATCATTATTTCCCATTCACACTAAAGCTTTTTTTATATTCATGTAGTAATAATGGCCTTCTTTTTCTTTTCAACATCGGGTTCGATACCATTTGATGTTCTAGAAATTTCCGTCAAGGTTAAGGTCGGCGAACTACGAAAACGATTTGAACATTTTGCTTTTTAATTAGTTATCACAACTTATTTTTTTAATATCATTTAAATCTAGTTTTGATTGAATAACTCAGTGATGACGTTTTATGAAATAAATAAACGATTGCTTGTTGTCAGCTTCATTTAAAATTGCCAGTAACTTAAACCCGCGAACCGTAACCACCAACGTACTCTATTGCTATTTCAGGACTGTTTATCGAAAATGAAAGTAGACAGTTGATTCGAACACACGACCTTCCGATTACGGAGCGAGCGCCCTACCTACTGAGCCACCGTCACAGTTTATCGAAAATGAAAGTAGACTTTTAATTAAATTTACGATAATTACTATGCGAGTGAAATCTAAATATAGTTTACGATCATCACCTCATACTTGGCGTATTCTTAGAGAAGTAAGTATGAACTCTTGTGCAGGCGTTTCGGAGTTTATTTGCAAAATTTATTAATTTATAAGTATAGATTGTAATAAAACAAGATGTGTTTGTAAAACACTGATGCCCCCGTATGACAACTTATAGCGAATGTTGAATTTTCTCAAATGCAAATCAAATATGTTGGTGTCCAAAGTAACTTAAAGGTCTTGTACCGAGGAATATACCTGCGAAATTTGAAAGCCCTAGCAGCAACCATAGAAAAGATATGGAAAAGTCTAAAGTTTTTCAAAATAAATCAAACATCAAGGTCAAAATAAAACGGTGTCCAGGGAAAGGCCTTCTCACAAGAAATACACATGTGAAATATGAAAGCCCTAGCACCAATAGTTCAAAAGATATGGCCAAGGATTTTTTCTTCAAAAGTAGGTCAAACTCCAAAGTCACGGTCAAAGTTGTTGGTATCCCAAGTAAGGTCTTGTCACAAGGATTGCATATGTGAAGTATGAAAATCCTAGAACCATCTGTTCAAAAGAAATGGCCACGATAAAAGTTTTCCAAAAGTAAGTCAAACTCAAAGGTCAAGGTCAATTGTTGGTATCTAAAGGAAGGGCTTGTCATAAGGATTACACATCTGAAGAATGAAAGCCCTAGCATTAACTCTTCAAACGTTATGGCCAAGGTTAAAGTTTTCCAAAAGTAGGTCGAACTCCAAGGTCAAAGGGTCAAAGGGTCAAAGTTTACATATCTGAAGAATGAGCCCTCGCACCAACCGTTCAAAAGATATGGCCAATGTAAACGTTTTTCAAAAGTAGGTCAAACTCGTAGGTCAAGGTCAAAGTTGTTGGTATCCGAAGGAAGGTCTTGTCACAAGAATTACACATGTGAAGTATGAAAGCCCTAGCATCACCCGTTCAAAAGTTATAGCCAATGTTAAAGTTTTTCAAAAATAGGTCAAACTCCAAGGTCAAAGTTGTTGGTATCAAACGGAAGGTCTTGTCACAAGGACTGCACATGTGAAGTATGAAAGCTCTAGCATCAACCGTTCAAAAGTCACTGCCAATGTTAAAGTTGGAAAAAAATTTGTAAAACTGGGTCAAACTCCAAAGTCAAGGTCAAAAGGTCAAATATGATGGTACACCAAAAGCCAAAGACAAAGCTCCAACCAATCAAAAGTTATGAGCAATGTTAAAGTTTTTGCGGACAAACAGACAGACGGACAGGGCAAATACATATGTACTATATACCCACGAATCATCGATACGGGGGCATAAAAAGGAAAAAAGACTATAGGTTAAACTTTAAGATCAAGGTCACGTGGTCAAAAACCAGAGTTCATTTGGAAAGGTCTTGCATGTCAAATATAAAAGATAATCTCTCTTTCAAAAATTATCAACAATGATATTTTTTTTTTTTGTTTGTTGTTTAACGTCCCTCACGAGAATTTTTCACTACCACTTGCAAATTTAGAACTATATTCGGCACTCAGGGCCATTGAGGGATCTTTTTCATGCCAGCACCGACACGGGACCTCGGTTTATACGGTCTCATCCGAAGGACCGGTATCCACGTCCTACAGTGGGATTCTAACCCAGGACGTAAGGATCAACTCCTTACTCCACGACTCTAAAGCAGACGCTCTGACCACTGCGCCACGCGGCCGACCCCGAAAAAATATAACAAAATTGTTATTGAAGTAAATTTACAATGTTATCCTCGTAATATTTATTTATCCTTCTCATTCCATTCTCAATTTTTTATATACTTAGCAATGTCTACAACAAAAAGAAAAAATTTGAACCAGCCGAGTAACTAAGTCTTGTATTCATATACACAATATTTAGCGTTTATGTAATACTTCGGTTGGCATATCGTCAATACCAGTATTGAAAAAAAAAATATTGATTTGATATTGCAAAAAACAGATAAATCGGTAATATCGCACACCCCTAATTAAAGCTGATCACTACACTTCAGATATTCAGCAATAGAATCATGGTTCACACAATACAATGCTCCAGCTTCTTCGAGAAGTTCGTTAAACCATTTACGGCAATATACTGTGAAATAATTGCATGTAAAATAACTACAGATGAGGTGGCAAGTGGCAACAGATAGCTTATCTATTCAAAATAAGATGGAATCTTGATGGTGTTCTTGGTGCTTTGGATAGGAAGCATAATTAACCCATTCTCAAGAAGAACCCAGTCAGTCAAAAGCATATATTCAGTTAAAGACTAATGTCCTGTTCACTCAGAGAGTTTAATTCAAATTACAATGTAAATGGGAGACCGGTCCTTCGGACCGGATAAATGAAATATGTGGAGATAACGAACAGTATTCGAGTTCAAAAGTCCATTTAACATTACAAAATAAGAGTAGACCAAACACGGACCTCTATACATCAGAGGTGGGATCAGGTGCCATGAAGGAGTGAG